TCCTGCAAAGTTCAGCTCCAACCCTAATCAAACACACCTGAAGCAACTAATTAGGGTCTTCAGGATCACTTAAAAATTAAAGGCAGGTGTCTTTGATTAGAGTTGGAGCTAAACTTTGCAGGACAGTCGATCGCCAGGAGCAGGGTTGGGCACCCCTGCTCTAGATAATGGCTTTAGATGGAAAGAATTGTTAAATAGAGTTGTTATTTTTGTTTTCTTGCACCAAAGGTATTCCCGTAGCTTTGTGAAATTACGGTTGAACCACTGATGTCACATGGACCATTTTAACAATGTGCTTACTACGTTTCTGTGCCTTGACCGTGGTAGGACCCTTGCTGTCTATGGAGGGTCAGAAAGCTCTCGGATTTCATCAAAAATATCTTAATTTGTGTTCCAAAAAAGAACGAAGATCTCACGGGTTTGGAACGACATGAGGGTGAGTAATTAATGACAGAACTTTCATTTTTGTGTGAACTATCCTTTTAAGTAAAGAGACGGGTTTTATGCGTAATTAATGGATTGCACTAACATTAGGCTACTTTGCCCATGGCCGTTATAAAGTAGATCAACTAACATGATCTATAAAGGTGCAAAATGCATTTACTTACACATGTTTGAGAATCGAGTTAACACATTAGGAAATATTTCAGATAAAAAAGGAAAAATTACAGAGGGGGGCCTTTAAGGGTACCGCTGCGTCATAATCCGTCCCTGAGCGATGCGACACGCTTTGATCTCGCCGCCACACGGTCACGTGGTTCATGGAGCTCTCAATAGTTCCAAACAACTCCGTGCTGTCAATAAGTTTGATTGGGTTTAAGTAGGATTGCCAGCAGTGCAGATTTGCAGCACTTGCCTTATCTCTGGCATCCGTCCGGTGGAAAGTGACCATTACATTTTTGCACGCTGCTACAGGTTTAAAATTCAAACAAAAGTTTATCGTTTATCTCGTGTCCCTATTCAAAACATATTTAATTCACAAAAATAAAACTATTATAAATAAACAAACACTATTTATGTATTATATATATATATATATATATATATATATATATGCTTTATTAATTAAATTCCACAAGAACATGAGGTATTACATATTCACATGATCAAATTAACATTATTAGCTGCCAGAGGAAAAAAAAGGAATAAAATTACATAGTTCAATGCTTTCAGAGCATTACATGTTTTCAGTGCTTTTTTGTTTGTTCTGAGAGATTTACATATAATTTAAAGTCATTTATAAAATGTGCAAAATTTGGTTTACAATATTGAGCCCACCTCTTATGTATATGGAATTTTGCTGGAACTATTGGCTGCTCCATGACACGCTTTACTTCCACATTCCTCAATACCCATGAGAACTGAGGAATGCGGAACTCTGTTTCTCAGCGGCTCTGTCCCTGTGTAGGCGAAAAACAGTATGTGAGGCGAGCAGTATGTCCGAATAGTATTCGAAAAACAGTAAGCGAAAAGTAACCGGCCATAGTGAAATCTACGGTGACCGTAAAGTGCAAAGCAAATCACAATTCTGAAAACAAAAAAACTAATTACAAATGCAAGTCTAAAAAACTAAATAATTCAGAAAGCACAACAATTCAAAAAACATTATAACAAGTCAGAAAACACAACGACAAATCAAACCGGAAGAGGTAGGTATAGTTTGAGACGGCGCCATTGGTTTGGGATTACTCAGCGCTGACTGGACCAGACATCTGTCAATCAACGTATACAGAGAAGAACCAGCCGAAGAACAGCAGAGTCGTGGTAGAAAGTTCGGAGATTGTAGTAAAGTAGCTCAGTTTAAATGTATTGTATTAATTGCCCTTACTATGGAATAAAAAATACGGGGTGTTTATTTATGTTTAGTTAAAAGTGGCCATTTAACATCAGCTACAGTGGCGCAGATGGATAAGTGCTTGTCCATGGCTTTTTGACGCGATCGACCCGGGTTCGATCCCACCTTTTGCCGAACTTTTTTTTTTTTTCTCAAATCTCGTATTAGCAATAGATTCCATTTACACTAAGTGAAAATAGCAGTATTTTTAGCAATATGCTGGCAAAGGCGGGATCGAACCCGGGTCGATTGCGTCAAAATGCCAACGAGTAGCACTTATCCAGCTGCACCACTAGAACTGATGTTTTATAGCCACTTTTAACTAAATGTAAATATATACTCCATATTGTTTGATTGACAGATGTCTCGTCCAGTCAGCAGTGAGTAATCCCAAACCAATGGCGCTGTCTCTATACCTACCTCTTCCAGTTTGTCTGAGTTGTCGTTGTGCTTTGACTTGTTAGTTTGTTTTTGAATTTGTCATTGTGGTTTCTGACTTGTTATAATGTTTTCTGAATTGTTGTTGTGCTTTCTGAATTGTCATTGTGTTTTTTAGACTTGCATTTGCGTTTGTAATTTGTTATTTTGTTTTCAGAATTGTGATTTGCTTTGCACTTCTCGGCCACCGTAGAAATCCCCCAAAAAGTGGCGGTGCTCCACATAATGTGACTTGTCTCCGACTGGACTGCAGTGTTGCAAACTTAGCAAATTTGTTGCTAAATTCAGCAACTTTTCAGACTATCCTACCAACATTTTCTTTTAAAAGCACCTAGCAACAGATTTAGATATTTCTAAAACTTATTTGGCAACTTTTAGCTATACTTTTGATAAGTGACATTTCTATCAAAATCACACCCAAAGGGGAAACCAAAGATGCCTAGCAGTACACGGATCACATGAATTAAGTTAGCTGCTATTTGCAATTGTTCAATTTAATAATAATATTTATAATAATTGTTCATTTATGATACACCTTGTTAGTAGCTTGATTGTTGATCAGTTAGTACACTAAGAAAAATATCTAGAAAAATGGAAAAGGTACTAGTAATTTTCCAGGACATTATCGCTTATCTGTTGTAACCTAAAAACACAAAATACAATGCGTATTAAAAATGCAGGTAAAACAAACCTGTGGAAAAATCAATATGGGAAATGTCTTCATATTAACATAGTACATTGTGCCCCATTTGTACACTTTTCTTAGAGTGTAGCATATTAACTAAGTACTAATACACTGCTTAAAACTATAATTGTTCAGAATGTGTAGTTTTACTAGCTAATAAAAAAACTTCAGTTTCAAGTTTTCAATAATTCAATGTTGTATTTAAATATACAGTTATTTATCTATAAAATATTATATTAGCCTATGCATTTATGTCATAATGTTAATATGACATTTACTATCCCACACCTGCCTCATACTGTGGGCGGATAAACAGCTGGGATGTGGCGTGTCTTGAGTTTCATTCCTCACGAACAGACTGCCGTTCCATATTCACGTCTGTCCGGGATCACAGCCATCATCAGAATGTGGATTCTGTTGGTTATTTGGATGATTTTTTTCGCGGATGGTAAATATGACACTTAAGATGGCTTTTAAATAGCCTATTCCTTCGTGTATTTACATGGCGCTGCCTCGAAGTAAAACAAATAGGTAGGCCTAATCCTGAGAGGTGTTTCTCACAATTTAAAACTATTTCTGATAATTGCAATTTTTATCTGTATTTCACCATTGTGACTTCTTTTTGAAAGTCACAATTAGTCTTCCTTTTTTATTTTGTACTGTAACCTTTTTAAACATTAGCATCTATGCGTTTGCCTGTTTTATATGCGATTCTTTCTCATTCGCAGGAAAAACTATTGGCGAGTGTCGTCTGGTTCTTCATGCATTAGCCACAGCCGTGTGTCAGCTGTATCTGGTGCTGTTACACCTGCGCCGTGCCGGCCAACACTTGGTTAAAGCTTGGCGTATTGATTTGACCACTGATCGCATTAATGAAAATGTGTTATGGCGTAGTACTCAGCCAGAGTATGTTTTAAAGAGTCGTAGAAAAGCCTCTGTTCATTTCCTGGAAGGAGTGTGTTTGCTCTGGGAGTCTCTCTCTCAGTTTCTGGCGGTCGTGTCGACTCTGTGTGTCGTTGTCAGACACGTCCTGCAGGCGGCGCTGTTTCTCATTGTGTCCACGGTGCGCTGGCCGCAAAAGATGCTGCTTTCTAAAGAGGATTTGGACGAATGGGAGAAAGAACAGAAGAACGACAGAAAGGAATTACAGGAACAAAGAAGACAGGTGGAGGAATACCTAACTGTTGTTGAGCACTTCCCTTCACTTCACAGGACAAAAAGTGGTTGATTTATTAATACCTCTGTTCAGTTCACCACAAAAAGTAGCTTCTGAAGCCAAATGTGCTTTCTATGAGGAACACACAGTGAGATGAACTTGAGAAGATCAGTCTGTTTTGTAATCTGGACAACCAAATCATTGGGGGGAAAAAATATTTTGGGGAACTATTACTTAAAGTGCTACATACGATTTAACCATTTTGCTAATCATTTCCTTGCTTGTGAATTAGACCACACTCTTTCTGAAACTCCACTTTAAGACGTACACAAAAGAGAAATCAAAGTAGTACCATCTTTTGTTTGTTTATGTACACGTATCTTAACATATCTGTGTTTATACGATTTATGGCTGAAGGCTTTCTGTTCTCATCTTGCAAAACTTATTTCATGTTTCTTTACATACAGCAGTAATCAAGATATTACAATATCATACAAAAATATATTTTTTGCTAACAATTACGCAAGTAGAACATTATTTCATTAAACAGTTATCAAAATTAAAAACCTGATAAATGACATGTTAAACATGCATTTTTACATTCATACTTAAAAGATGAGCACACCTTAATATCTTTGTGATTTTTGCTGTTGAATACCATTAATATCTGTATGATTTTCACTTCATCTATGAAATTAAATCATCTATACTGCAATAAGAGTTGAAAATAAACGATGCTCTACATTTAGAGCAGCTACTGCAGGTTTGTTCTGTGTTTGACACTTAAAAACTCATACAGTACTTATACATATTAGCAATTCTACAATAAAAGAATCGAGAGTTGCTGTCGTCTGATTCTTCTCATCACAGTCTGGCCTCTACACTGATCTCAGGGGTCCATCCATTACCTGTAATGAAGAGGACGATGTACAGCACATTACTCTACACAGTGGAGCAGAAATACCCTTTAATTTGCAATAGAAATCTGTAGATCAGAACAAAAAGCAATCGATAATCTTACTCAGCATGTCCCATATTCTCTTCACTGCATATTTATTCACTCTGAACTCATTCTGGTCATCACTGGAAAACAAAGAAAGATGTAATAATCATCTTATTCCTATTCCAGTTTCAAATTTCATTTCTTAGATGTGTGTTAAAGCTGTTTACACTTTAGTTTTGGTCACAGCAGCCATCCTGAGCAAAGCTGAGAGAACATTCTTCTGTAGGTCAGACGATAAACACTCATACGTCTGAACTTCACCTGATAGAGAGACATACTGACAATAATAATCTGTTTTAAGTATAGCATTATCTGATTTCATTGATCTGTTACATAATTCACAAGATTATTTCACAGATATTGCCAGAAATCTCCAACTGGAAATGACCCACACCTGAAATAAGGAGCTTCATGATGAAACTGCGGATGTTGGTTGAAAACGTCTTCTCTCTCAATGTCTGCGAACTCTCTTCACACAGGTACCTAAACACCACCTAGACACACACAGCTTCATCTATATTAAAGGAGTAGTTCAGCCAAAAATGAACGTTTTGAAAAATTTACTCATGGCTTCCAAGCTGTAAATACATTTGTTTCTTCATAGGAACAGATTTGGAGAAATTTAGTATTACATCAGTTGCTCAGCAATGGATGCTCTGCAGTGAATGGGTGCCGTCAGATTGAATTAATACCTCTGTTCAGTTCACCACAAAAAGTAGCTTCTGAAGCCAAATGTGCTTTCTATGAGGAACACACAGTGAGATGAACTTGAGAAGATCAGTCTGTTTTGTAATCTGGACAACCAAATCATTGGGGGGGAAAAATATTTTGGGGAACTATTACTTAAAGTGCTACATACGATTTAACCATTTTGCTAATCATTTCCTTGCTTGTGAATTAGGCACTGAATTAGACCACACTCTTTCTGAAACCCCGCTTTAAGACGTACACAAGAGAAATCAAAGTAGTACCATCTTTTGTTTGTTTATGTACACTTATCTTAACATATCTGTGTTTATACGATTTATGGCTGAAGGCTTTCTGTTCTCATCTTGCAAAACTTATTTCATGTTTCTTTACATACAGCAGTAATCAAGATATTACAATATCATACAAAAATATATTTTTTGCTAACAATTACGCAAGTAGAACATTATTTCATTAAACAGTTATCAAAATTAAAAACCTGATAAATGACATGTTAAACATGCATTTTTACATTCATACTTAAAAGATGAGCACACCTTAATATCTTTGTGATTTTTGCTGTTGAATACCATTAATATCTGTATGATTTTCACTTCATCTATGAAATTAAATCATCTATACTGCAATAAGAGTTGAAAATAAACGATGCTCTACATTTAGAGCAGCTACTGCAGGTTTGTTCTGTGTTTGACACTTAAAAACTCATACAGTACTTATACATATTAGCAATTCTACAATAAAAGAATCGAGAGTTGCTGTCGTCTGATTCTTCTCATCACAGTCTGGCCTCTACACTGATCTCAGGGGTCCATCCATTACCTGTAATGAAGAGGACGATGTACAGCACATTACTCTACACAGTGGAGCAGAAATACCCTTTAATTTGCAATAGAAATCTGTAGATCAGAACAAAAAGCAATCGATAATCTTACTCAGCATGTCCCATATTCTCTTCACTGCATATTTATTCACTCTGAACTCATTCTGGTCATCACTGGAAAACAAAGAAAGATGTAATAATCATCTTATTCCTATTCCAGTTTCAAATTTCATTTCTTAGATGTGTGTTAAAGCTGTTTACACTTTAGTTTTGGTCACAGCAGCCATCCTGAGCAAAGCTGAGAGAACATTCTTCTGTAGGTCAGACGATAAACACTCATACGTCTGAACTTCACCTGATAGAGAGACATACTGACAATAATAATCTGTTTTAAGTATAGCATTATCTGATTTCATTGATCTGTTACATAATTCACAAGATTATTTCACAGATATTGCCAGAAATCTCCAACTGGAAATGACCCACACCTGAAATAAGGAGCTTCATGATGAAACTGCGGATGTTGGTTGAAAACGTCTTCTCTCTCAATGTCTGCGAACTCTCTTCACACAGGTACCTAAACACCACCTAGACACACACAGCTTCATCTATATTAAAGGAGTAGTTCAGCCAAAAATGAACGTTTTGAAAAATTTACTCATGGCTTCCAAGCTGTAAATACATTTGTTTCTTCATAGGAACAGATTTGGAGAAATTTAGTATTACATCAGTTGCTCAGCAATGGATGCTCTGCAGTGAATGGGTGCCGTCAGATTGAGAGTTCAAACAGCCGATAAAAACATCACAATAATCCACACCACTCCAGTCCATCAATTGATGTCTCATGACTAAAATATGAGTCAACTATCCGTAACATTGTTTTCTCCAGTGAAAAAGTTGTCTTGTCTGAATCAGGAGAGCAATGTGGACAGATCAAGCACCGTTTATGAGTGAAAACAGTTCTAAACAAATATGTTGGTTGATTTTGATGTGAGAGAACTACAGGGTTAATATGGATTATGCACTAATATTTTAGCCAGAAGCAATGGTTTGAAGTCAAAAACGCCTTAATAATGTATTTGTTTTTTACAAAAATGCAGCTTTTCACATCACAAGATGTTAACTGATGGACTGGCGTGATGTAGATTACTTGTAGATTATTGTGATGTTTTTATCAGCTGTTTGGACTCTCATTCTGACGGCACCCATTCACTGCAGAGGATCCACTGGTGAACAAGTGATGCTACATTTCTCCAAATCTGATGAAGAAACAAACTCATCTACATCTTGGATGGCCCGGGGGTGAGTACATTTTCAGCTCATTTTAATTATTGGGTGAACTATTCCTTTAATTTTGGTGCATTCAAACCAAGCGGCAACCTCCTGCTCTTTCTGGTGATGCCAACAAGGAAGTGACTTAAACTGTAATTCATCAACTGGCCGCTAGAGCTGGCTGCAAAAGGAAGTCAATCCCATAGACTCCCCATGTTAAAATGCCCAACTTTACAGCGGAAAAAAACATTTTTACAGCCTGGTTCAAAAAATGATTTTGGTCTATATAGCTGCCCTTCATGACAACTGTGAGGGGGGTGATTTTTTCGTTTTAAATTCTATTAAGCCTTAAAGTTCTGCATAATTAAGGGCGTGGCCACTTGAGTGACAGGTGGATTGCCGCTGCTGTCACCACCGTCGAGCTAGGTGGGTGTGGTTTCAGCAACCAGCTCCCACCTTTTTGCCCATTTTCGATTATCCAGGAGTGACGCGCTGCCAAGATGGCGATGGCCGGCTCCGCCCACTTTGAGCTTCAAAAACCTCTTCAGGAACCTACGGTTGACGTCACAGACACTACGTCCATGTTTTTATACAGTCTGTGATTCAAACGTATTGTTACTAGCCAATGCAGATGGTGAACTGCCTGGACAATTGTGTAAACGACAACAATCACCTGGTAGCTCTCAGTGAAGGGCTGCAGAATCGCTCTGAGGAAGATGATGGTTTCTTGGCCATTGTCTCTCACATAGATCTCTTCGTCAGAGCGGCCGATTACACCAGACTCCTGTAGCAAAGAACAGCCCTCCTCAAAGTCCTGAGAGAGAAACGGATGTTTAGATGGATGTCAGGTGTTTAACAGCGTTATTTAAACAGTGTGACTCACCTGAAGAGCTTGACCAGGAATTACAACTAACTCATTGGAAAAGAGCTCCAGCAGGAACGTAAAATGATGAAAGATGTCATCTAGAAAGTAAACAACAGAGTGGCATTGGTTCAAATGTTTGACAATAATAATTCATTTATTCACCCTCATGTCATTCCAAACCTGTTTGACTTCTTTCTTCTGAAAGAACAAAACGTAAGCACGCTGCTCTTTTCACATTTAAAGTGAATGGGGACTGAGGCTGTTGAGTTCAAAAAATGACAAAAAAAGTGGCAAAAGAACAATAGAAATAGTAAATATTATTTTTGTGCTTTATCCTAACTGTTCTTGAGTCGAACAATAGCTCTATGTAAGGATCAAACAGACATTTAAGTCATTTATTCACTGAAAATCTTCTGTTTCAAGTTTGAATGGTCACATGCAACACCATTATGGTGCTTAGAAATTTAAGAATAGACTTTCTTCCATGTATGAAAAAGAACTTTTTGGAAATTCCTCAAAATTTCCCACAAAAGAAAAAAGTCAGCATTCGAGATATAGTTTGGGCCATATGAAATCCATTACATTTTTTTCCCAAGATCAATTTGATTTTATTTCCCAAAAATAAAATATATTTTATTATAGATCCATTTTATTATATTCCCCCAAATTTGGATTCTGTTTTAATAATTTATATACATTTTAATAATAAAAAAGGATGTCTAATTGAATTTACAGAACTGTTTGAATCTTTATGCTTTCTTTGTTTTATAATTTAATACAATTGTATTATCAAATTCCGCATTATACAATAAATTCCATTTTTGTGACTGGATTCCAGGATTCTGTCCACATTGCAGAAAACATAGGGCCCTACATAGTTGACTTCCTGTGATACGACTCACCTGTCCTATGGCTTGCAGCTGTTGTCATAGCAACCGCCACCATAGCTGGTCTTGTGAATACATGTACTGCTTGATTCCTGTAGGAGGCGCACATGAGCACAGCAGTAGCAGATCTGAACACGCCCTCCTCTTGAGTGACAGGCCCCGGCCCCTCCTCCTCCACTAAATAGACACGCCCCCTCTCACAGCGTACAACTGAGTGATGCAGGCTCATGCTCGATGACATCACCTCAGAATCCGAAACATTCTCTTCAAATAAAAAAAAAAGAGGGGAAAATGGTATGTTTTGATATACACAAATATACTTTTAAATGATACACACTGTAAAAGTAGATTTATTTTTTTTAGTTTACACAGAAAACTAAACTAGTTAGAGACCTTTGGAACGGGCTCATGAATATTCCAACCGTAGAGAAGTACACAGCTTAAATTCTATTATGTTAGTGCTTTGTCTATGGACAGCATCTGCTGTTGATTTTATGGCAGAAAATAATTTGTCTCATTTGTCAGTTTCTAAAAGCGTGCTGAAATGTGTTTACAATAATGCACTTACAGTACAGTGGAAGTCTATGGGACATTACAGAGGGTTTATGGTTGTAAAAGCAATTCTTCTTAACAAAAATATGGATTATTTGAGCTGTAAAGTTGTCTAAATGTTGTTTTTAATATTGGGAAATTTGTTAGAAACTGATGAAGTTCTGGTTATGATCAAGTTTTTCAACATCCATCAGAAATAACTGCATTTACATGGTCCGAATAAGTGATTTTAATCACACTCATCTCATGTATTTTTGTGTAATCTTCAGTCTTGGCTTGTATTTTAACATCTTGCCTTATACAGTAGATGTCGATTGTAAGTACATCAGTGCAAATAGCATTTTTCTTATTCAAACTGCCAAATGAGTCAAAAATACTTTCTATGCCAACTGACAGCATGCAACAAAAGCTGTCTATAAAGCACTGAAGCCACTAGCTGATTGTATTTTTGTAGGATTGTGTAA